CGACCGCGTCCGCAACGGCGCCCTGTTTCTGCGTGCGATGACTCGCCTACCTTTCTAAACAGTGCCTATATTTGATGGCTATATTCTCCAAAAAGCTTCCATTGCTACATGAATCCGTATATCTGTTCTTCAATGGAGTAATATTCAACCCCACCCTTGTTTTCGAAAGTGAAGAGATGGCATACGGCTAAAAAGGTTGATATATAGTCATCTCGTTCCAGTATACATGCGGTGAAGAATTCTGAATCGGAAGCGGAGCAGGCAGTTACGATAGAGCGCGAACGTCCGCTTTTTAAGTTGCCTTAGAGGATGACGCGCTCTGCCGCAACCGGCCTGCTCCAGGTCAATCAATCTTCCACCACTTTCTACTGAAATAAATAACAAAACATCAAATTTTTTTCTTAGCGTACTTGTGCTCAACATCTTGAAGGAACACAAATGGCTATCTGAAACAATGCACTTCGAAAGGACTTTCTTACTATCTTTTGTGACAAGGGGGAAGGGAATCCAGAAATCGCAGCACTGTACTTGCTCCTTCCAGACTTCTGAGCTTCAGCACACTGTTCTTTGAACTTCACTCGCGAAGAAAGAACATTACTTGCTATCTGTATGCTTTAGCTTTTAGAGCATGATTACAGCAGTAATGAGTTTTTCTAATGAACTTGATGCTACCTATTAGCTAACAATGTTTTTTGACTTTGAAACCTTTTGATATCAACATAACTTGATTAGCTTCATTCCATCTCACTGCTCATGAAAAACTGAAAAAGATCTATGTTACTCAAACTGCTTCTCTCTAGTAAATGATCCAAACGTGATATGGGAGCCGCATCCGGCATTTGGCTACATCGAAACCACATGTATTATTTGGTTCACATTTGAATTTATCTTAAGACTTGCCGTTACTCCTTCGAGGTAATCATTCAGGTTTTCTGTAAGCAGTATTGAAATCATACGAATGAAGATTTATTTGAGGCTGCAGTTTCTCGTTGGTATCATGAACATTGTCGATATGGTAGCAATAATTCCATTCTACCTGGAATTAACGCTCGCTATGTTCGGAGTTGATGTCGCCAGCCTCAGTGATATTAAAGGTATGCCTTATTACTTTTTGTTATATTTACCTATACTGTTTCTCATCTCATGTGAGCATCAAGAATGAGTATTCTATTTGGATTTACAGTCAACTCCTCTAAATCAGTATCACATCTTTGAAAAGCTGTCCTATTTGATACAAAACAAAAAATGTCGCCAGAACTTTCACAGCAAACGAAAAAAGCATTCTACTTAGAATCATTTTTTTTTTGGAACAATGGCGATTCTGCTACAGCTACTCACCCTAGGAATCACGG